GCAATGTTCAAAACATGCATTTATAGTGAGATTTTTGGGTTAAAAAATATAAATTATTTTTTATTTATTTTCGAGTTATATTACATGATAAGGACTCAGCATCACTTTTTTACGTATGTATATTTAATTTTTTTTATATATTAATTATTATTTAATTTTTATAATTTTTTTTTTTTTGCTCACCACTGTAGAATTTTTATATTTTAATAAAACCCAACAACAACAGCAATAAATTACCCCGACAAACTATAGCACGTAAACAAACAGAGAATGTATGCACGTATATATATATGTACACATGTATGTTTGTACCATTTAACAGATACACAGAAGGAAGTGAAGTAGACGAATGGGCGAAAAGCATAAATAATATAATATAATGGAAAACTAGAATTTGAAGAAGAAGAAAAAACAAAAACAAAAACAAACCAACAGACTCGCCGTCAAAACAAAAAGATAGTCAAAGCAAATTTATTATAGAGAAACAGAAACCGAAATTAAATCAACTGAAACCGAAACTAGGCTGCGACAATAATAATAATAACAACAACAACAATAGCCCGAAGCAACAACGGCAATGGCAATCAACATAAGGAAAGCAAATGTAAAAGATATTGAATAACAGACAGAAGGCAGCGGACAGGGAGCAGCGCCAGTAAAAAGCTCAAAAGGAAACAGAGCAGCGCAGCGCGTAGGTAGCAAGGCGATACGGTAACGTCGGCTAGTCGAGATATTTACAGATAAATTCGTATGTAGCAAGAGATAAATACAGCAGAAAGTTGCAACAAAACGTAACAAAAAAAAAAAAAATAAAAATAATAAAATAAATAAATAAATAATGAAAAAGTAGACGAGCGCCAAGGGGAGGCCACACCAAGTGTATTTTTTACACCTTTTTTTTTACATTTAAAGGGAGCTCAATGAGACAGTGAGGGCTGCGCTGCTGCCGACGGCGATGCGTTGCATCAAGCATCAACATGTTTGCGTTTATATTATATATTGCATTACAACTACAAACAATAACAGTTGTTGCCCCAGCGTGATAGTGTTGTAATTGCGAGCTGTAACGCGCACACTACAGCAGCTGGCGCACGCTGACGCTGCCACATCCGACGTAGTAACTAGTCACAAACTAGTAGCTACATAAACATACACATACATATGTATGTACATATATATGCATGTGCATGCATACACGTTGTTGTTTTGACTGCAACTGCTGACGACGAACGAGTACGTAGTACTTCGCCGTCGTTGTCGCTCTGTCGTCATTGACGGATGGCACAAAAGTCACAAAAGTGAAAAAGCAAAACAAGTCAACGACGGTCCAAACGGGGCAAAAAGTGGCAAAACGAGGCTAAAAATTGAAAACAGAAAACGTTGTTGTAAAGGGGCCTCGTCGAGGTTTTTCTGAGTTTTTTGAGTTTGCGGCTGTGCCCTCCACCTTTTATTACACTGCACTTTTACGACGCAGACGAAGTCGACAACGACAACGTCAAGTCGCATGCGAATGCTTGAGTGTGAGTGAGAAGGCAACAGATGCGAAGTACAGAACAAAACAGAAAATTGTAAAATTTTCCATACAACATAAAGCCAAGCGCGGTGGTAAAGGAGGGTGACGACAACGACAACAACAACAACAACAACAACAACAACAACAACAACAAAGGCAAGAACAGAAATGAAAATGGAAAAAGGGAAAAAAATGAAATAAAACCAAGACACAAGCAGAAAAATAAACCAAACACATACAGAGTTGGCGTAGTTAGTTAGCTAACTGGTAGGCGGTGTGGAAGTTAGTGGGAAGCAAGCGAAAAAGGGATTGCAATGAAGGAAAAAAGGGCAGCCATAAATAATGTATGTATGTATGTATGGTACTTGCAACGCAAACGCCATTAAAGTATATATGAATGCATGTGCATATTGTATTTATGTATGTATGTATGTATGTATGTACGTATGTACAGTCCAACTTTACTTTACAAAGAAAACAAAAGCGTACGGAAAAAGGCAGCGAACGGAAGTGCTGAGCGCTGAGAGACATCGAAAAGAGAACTTCAACATAGAAAATTATGTATCTATGTGTTTTACTTCCTATTTTTATAGCTAACCTTAAGAGGATTGGTTTGTGTATATGTATATACATATATACATATATATATATATATATTTACTAAGAGCATATGTGTGTAGCATTTCGCGCGTTTACCTTTTGAAGAATTTATTTAACAAAACAGAAAGTGTCATATTTTAAAAGGGATAAAGCGAAATTCAGGTGTCTGTCGGTAAACAAAACAAAAAATGCCATTAGGGTGGGTTTTTTCTAAACACATATGTACATATTTACATATGGAATGCACATAATGGGCTTTTAAATGAATTTGTGACACACAAAATTTAATAAGAAGTAGGTTTTGAAGGAAGTAGGAAGGGTAACAATATTATGGATAATGTTAGTTCCACCTTTAGAAGTAAATAGCAGAAAATTATAAAAAAAATTTATATGTAAGTATGAATGTAAATTTAAGTCGACAGAATTAAATTCAGTTCTTCATAGTTTATAAATTTTGGCACAAATATTAAAATTTGCTTGTACATACATATATTGAACTCTTATAAACTAATATAAACAAGATTTATCCAGTTTTATGTCGGTAAACTGCATAAACATTTTTTTCTTATTTACCTAGATAATTTTGTTTAAATGACTGCATACGATATATATATATATATGTATATATATGTATACATGTATGAACATATTTATTTGTATTTAATAAGTTTTATATACCAAATATAAAAACAAAAACAAAGCAAAAAAAACAAATGAAAATCATAAACTTTATATTGAAAAGAAATTCAGTAAACATGCAAAATAAATACACACATACATGCATACATGCATAAACAGCGGCACACGTCGGTAAGTGAAAGGCGGAAAGCGCTTAAAAGCAAAAGAGGAACTCTTAAATGCCACATAGCCAAGTGAAAATAAACAATATGGCAGTGGAGCGACAACAAATGGCAAAAATACGTAAATACATAATAAATAAATAAAAACTGTTGCAATACCAGTCTAAGCTGGAGCAAAATATACTGCATACATACATACAAATATACAGGCTATGCGTAAATAAACTAAAACAAAAAATGCTCGTAGTAACAATAATAATAATAAAGGAAAAATTTCACAATTTACTACTGCTGAAAACAGAATGGCAAAAAGAGTAAATAAAAAAATTCACATAAAAAAATGTGAAAACAGTGAAAAAGATATTTATTTCAAAAAAACGTTAAAATTAAGAAATTAAAAAATATGTACATACATATATGTAAAAATTAGTTTTCAATAATATTTTTTTTTTAATTGGAATTTACTTGTATTTCTACCACTTAATTATGAGATTTCTGCAGCAGCAGCAGCCTTCCTTTCTTACTCGTTTTTTTTTTCTCTAGCAGCCAATAAAATAGTGTGCAAATATTGAAGTAAAGAGTTGAAATATAAATACAAATGTTTAAAAATAGAAAAAAAAAAATAAACATTCCAAACCAGCCAAGTCGAGTCAGTCAAGTCAGCCCGTCCATAACGTCCGATAATTTAGTCTGTCCAAAAGTCGATGACGATGACGACAATGACCTGGTTTTGTGAGTATGTGCGTTGTTGTTATTGTGTTATTGTCGTCGTCATTGTGTTGTTGTTTGCTTCAGTTTTGTTTTGTTTTCAATTTTACTGTTACTGTATTTTCGTCGTTATTATGTTTTGTTATTATTGTTGCTTACACTGCAGCATTCATTGGAATTTCATTTGGTCATTATACATAACGACAAATGTTTGTATGTATGTACATATATGCATGTGCATGTAAAAACATAGCCAAGTCTTTATGTTGTTATTTGGCCTTTATTACGGTTGTCGTGCCTTTGTATGTATGTATATAAGCATAGGTATTTACTTTGTATTTTTCGGTTTTACTTATCTTTTGAGAAAAAAAACCAACAACAAAAAAACATTATTACATTTCGGCAATTCCTTTGCTTCTGTCATCTTATTTTGTGGTGGGCAGCAAGAAGTACAAAATATTTATTTGATTTATTTATACCACTAGGTAGGTACATATGGTATGTAAGTATGTATGTATTTAATTTTCTGCGGTTTTCTGCTTGTAAAACATTTTTCCACAATTATTATTTTTTTACCAAATCCAGCACTTAGAAGGAGGACTTATGTAATTCGAAAATCCATATACGAATGAGAGTTCATTTATGCAGAAAAAAATCTGTCTGTAATTAGTACATGGCATTGCAATATTTTTTTTAATAAAAATTAACAGTAAATTTATATATTTTTTTTTAACTTGTATCTACATATTTTTGAACGCATTCGGAATAAAACTTCATTGGATTTGGAAGGTAAATCACAAAAATATATATTTTTTTAAATTGTATTTCTATTTAAAAAACGTTATTTATGCGAAAAAGTTATTAACAAAAAATATTTTTTTAGAGACAAAAAATATTTTTTTTATAGACAAAAAATATTTTTTTTATAGACAAAAAATATTTTTTTTAGAAACAGCAAAATATATTTTTCATAAGCAGGAAAATGCAATTTTTTTCATAAATAACATAAATTTTGTCTTCAGAACAAAAGCAACTTTTTTCGAAAATAAAAATAAATATTTTTTAGAAAAAAAAATTTTTCTTCAGAAATCAAATGTTTTTTTCAGGACATTTTTTTTAATGCAAAGCAAAAAAAAAATTTTTTTCAAAAACCACAAAATTTTTTTTTTTTAATTTTTTGCTCTTCATAAAAATATCTGCAAATATATTTTAATAAAACTTCTAAGCAACAAGCTCCACACACATACAAATATGTATGTAAATAAAAATAAAAATAACAGCTTTTGTTAAATTTCAACGTTTCAAACTGCTTGTATTTCACCTTAATTTGCTTTAAAAATTAAATAAAAACAACAAATAGTGATACAACTTTTATTTACCTTTATTGACTTCAGGCGACGCACAACAAAATTGTTGATTTTATTTGACCAGCTTTTACATTTCATTGGGGAGGCAGTTTTCATTTGTAATACAAATGTACCACAATTCCAAAAATATATGTATGAATAAAAAATAAAATTCACTTCAAAGCAATTAAAAACTTTGAAGAATATACACTGCCATTTGCAGAAAATTTTTTGTCAAAATATTTATGTAACATTTGCTACTTTTAATGAAGTTGGGAATCGTAAGTATTTGCTTGGTATCTTCCTAACAATATAATTTTATTTTTTCTTATTGCAAATTGCACTCCGTATAATTTTTAATAACACTTTAGATTTGCTTTTTACACCACTGCTTTTGTTTTGAAACAATTTATTTGCAACTGTTTATATTTTGTCTTCAAAATACAACACAACACTTTGTTTACTTTACGCAAAATCGCTTGCAATGCACTTGAGTTTGGTCAGAAACGAGTTTAAATACTGTTGGTTATGCACTTTATTATTAATTTTTTGAATAATTTCTGTGTTTGCTTTAGTACTTTGGGCTACACACTTGAAATATGTTTGTTTTTATTTTATTTTCTTATTTTGATTTTCTGATTTTTTATAATACTGATGTACAATTCTTTATCACGAATTGTTTTATTTTTCAACTGTTTGCTTATTTGATTTTTTGTTACTTTGGAAAAAATAAATATTAATTTCCTTTTAAATAATTTGCTTGTTTTTACAATTTTTTTGTTCTTTATATATATCACTCCTCCTTTTTCTAATAGTTTGGCGCCCCAATTTTTCAGTAAATCGCACTCAAAATATGCGCGATTCACGTTCAGTTAAACACTTCCAAACGAAACAAAGTTTAAAAATAAACTGTCGCTACAGTTACGTTTACAACTGCAACGATGTCAATGTTCCACAACATACCGCACGTTCCTACGGCAGAAAACCACATTCAAGCAATGAACGAAGCGGAACGAGTGAAAAGAGCGCTTCCCCATACAGCGCCCATTAACGATGAATAATGAAAAAATATTGCTGCCTTTCCCCAGCATGAGCAAGCAAAACAAAGTGCTCTAACAGCAGCGAGTGCACTTCGTATTCTTTCGTGCGTTGGCCGACTCTCTGTTTTGCTTTTTTCGTTGGTGTTTCACTTGCTTTCGTTTCAAAACATAGCAAATCACTTTGTGCGGCAAGTACAAGAGAACTTAAAGTGCAGAAAAAAAAAAACAAAATAGTTATTTACACATATATGGATGTGGGCAACTGACATACACATACTCGCAAACGCATGAGGGCACTGTAATTTGGTAGGAATTTCAACAATGCTGCCAAACAGTTGAGGAAATGGTGTCGTCGACGTCGTTTGAGTTGGGGAAGTTGTGTTGCTTCGCATTTTCAAGCCATCTCACTTGCTGTTGCAATTGTTAAAGCATTATGGTCTCGCTCTCTTTCTCTCTCTCCTTCTCTCTCTCACTTGCAATCCACAGTTTATTCTTGAATTTCTCCGTTATTCACATAGCAAGGGAATTAAACCAAAACCGAATTCAAAACGACTGCGTTCGTTCAACTCGCGCTCTTGTGTTTGCTGTGTTGTTTTGTTTTTCGCTGTACAAAAACAACAATATGTTATGCAGCTGAAACAAATTCATATGAAATTTGTGCATACAAGTGTACAGTTGTTTGTTTGTTTGTTGATTTGTAAGTATGTGCATATGTATGTATTTGGTATCCATCAACTGCAGCAGCATTTTTCACTGTTTGTTTTGATATTCTGCTTTCTTGTTTTTTTCTGCTTCTGCTTCGTTGTCTTCTTGGTTCAGCGTTCAGCGTTCAGCCTGCTGCTTTTCTGTTTTGCTCTGCTGTTTGTGATTACAAGCGGAAGTTGAGCGTAAAGGTTGCGCTGTGCGTGTGTTTATGACGCTTTGCTTTGTTTTTTCTTTTTACACATTTTTACAAACAAATACGAAAGGTACAAACAAACACTAACTTTGACAACATGCAGCTATATACATATATATATACATATGTACATACATATATACATGCAATCATATGTATGTATGCATGCATGTTTGTATACTTCCATCTCGTTGTAACTGCTGTGAGGCAGCGTCGCTGGCGCGCGCATTTGGCGCTCATTCTTCATTTGTAGCGCTAGTGATGGCAGTCACATAGCGTGGCAAGAGCTCAAAATGGCGATCCTAAATTTTTCTAGAATGCCAATTAGCGCCCAAATGTTCTTCGAACTATAAGCTTTTTGAGAACTCATTTTCCATAGCTAACATAATGGGTGGGATCTGGATTGATAGGGACCTCATTATAGGGATTGGGAAAATGTTTAATCAACATGTGGAAACCTGTGGAAGGAATGCTCTAGGTCCTCTAACCTCTCCTCTGGTGCAACCAAACTTTTGGCCAGCGTCAAATAAGCCGATGTCATCTCAAGATGTGATTTCTAAGGGAAAAATTTGACATCTGGTCAGGATATTGATGATTTCTGTTCGAAAGTAAACGGCTATTACGATGACCTATCCCGCTCCTTCACTGCACGACAACTAAGAATACAACTGACCAAATTCTCGGCTACCCTTTACACTAGCTGAACGAAGGAATATAGGCTCGAACGTGTTGTGAAAGTCGATGGAGTAAAAATTCCGTCCACAAACAACCCAAAGTTACTGGGAGTTACATTTGGCAGCGTGCAGTCCTTCATTCTGCATACGACCGCATAACTCCAGAGCCGCAACAAAATAATCAAACCGCTAGCAGCGCCTAGGGTAAAAGGGAGTACTAGATTTAAGTGACACAATCTAGCAACACGTACTTCAACCGCTGGACAGAACGGCGTACAGACAGGCACTAAACGCCATTCACCAGAAGTCAGTTAACACCTTAAAAGACTGCCCCTGTGAATGGCGTTCTTGAAGTTAATTCACCACCCATAGCTGACGAAGAGCTCGAGCTGTCTCGAGAGACTCGCGTAGTACTGACGCTACTTAGGTCTGGATATTGTAGCAGGTTATACTCCTACTTATCCATTATTCGACTCCAACATACCCAACGTATGTCACGAATGTAATGAGTCCCCGTATGACACTAACTACCTCTTTACATGCTTAACCTAACTACCTCTTAACTACCACTGAGTGTAAAATTGGATAGCCTGCCTGATTGGAAACTGAACCATCTCCTAAGCATATGCAGAAAGGAAGTATTTGACTTGAAAGACTCCATAAAGCATTTTTAAATTGAACCGCCATTCATCGAGAGTCCCTTGACAACCTCTTGAGCTCTCTTATCATGAATGGTATACTCGGAATGTCCGAAAGACTCAAGTAGTACTGGCACAATTAAGGTCTGGATATTGGAGTCGACCTTACCTATCCAGACTTGACGCCGAGATACCCAATGTAAATCCTCCATCTAATGAGTCCTCGCAAGACGCTGACCACTTCATTAAATACTCTCTAGCAGCAACTCATTAATTTTTCCCCCTCCCGTTGATGCAAACACGGCGATACAGACACTTTCAAGGGCCTCGGACTTTGACGGGTTGGAGAATTTAAGAGGAAACCAGAAACATATATTCCCCGCTATAGTTTGGTCTGTATACTCCAACGATCCAGATTTTAATCCGGCCTAGGAGGAATATTTTTGGGATAGCAACAACAACAGGAAGGCATGCGCATGTTTTTCGCATCAGAATCGAGTCGATTTTATCCGATCAAGGGTTGTCCGGCGAGCTCAGTCAACAGGTAAAGTAGTTATATGGCATTCACTTAATAATTTGTATCAGATCACGTTGCCAACAAACGAATGAACGACGAGCCTCTTTTCTGTTTAATTTAAGTAAGAACTTCAGTCGAGGGATTTCATATATCCGTCTGAGTTCCGAGGAAAACAGGTTCCTCAGTTTTCGCCATTATCATAGATCACCATAAAAGAGGTGGCTTAGATTCGGCGCATTCAAAACGAAAAATTGTCAGCCTGCAAAAATATACTCCCTATGAAGCGGTACACATATGACAACCTTTCTTTCGAATTATCGAAACATGTCTTGCAGGCTCTGTCCGGTTTCGCCTTCACTTCCCTCAACTAATTTTCTATTACGGTCTCAGCCGAGTCGACAAGGGTTCCACGGAGTGGTAACTTGAGTTTTGGCAACAAAAAAGTAAGTCACATAGGGCCAAATCCAAACTGAAGCTCGGTGCGATATCCGGAAACTTTCTGGATCCTATAAAAGAGGATGTTCAGAGATCTCACCGCAAGCGCCTAAGCCATGGAGCAGGGCCTCGTTGTATATTTACATATAAAAATATACACATACCTCCATATGTATATATGCGAGAGACATCTACATTATTTTTTAAGAAAAAATCCGCATTGTTCAGCACCAAAAACAAAACCCGTTTGACTCGACAGCCTCTAAAATTGATTTTTTTTGTTATGTTTTTTTCTTTGCCCAATACTTTTTGAATTTCAAATAATAATAATTAGTAGTTAATATTCAAGCGTTTGCTAATTTAACACATTTATCTATCGAACCAACGACTTTGTGCTAATAACTACAAACACAAAAACAACAAAGCCGCGGAACAGCTGCGCTTGAACGAGAGAGCTCAAGCGAAACAACCTGTTAGTAGTGGCTTTCCACCTTGCCCTACTGGACCGTTTAGCAAATGAATATGTATATATGTATGTGTGTATGTATTATATATAAAAACGATATAATTTTTTTTTACAACAGCGAGACAGAATGTCGCCTAAAAAAATTTCCAAAACGCGCTTTAATACCACATTTACATACAAACATACAAATAAACATTTGCTGGGTAAAAAAAAAATGATATATATTCCAAAGCTTGAGCGGCGACTTGAGGTCTAAGGCTGGAAATATACGATTAACTATGGTCATTGGAAATTTGAAAGTGGTTTTGTAAAAAATAAAAAAATTAAAAAAAATTATATAAAAATAAAAAAATATAAATATAAAAAGAACTAAAAAAAATAAATAAATAGAAATTGATTATAAAAAATCACGATTTATAGTCATGTAAATTAGTTGAACCTTTTTTTACGCAAATAGTAAGAACACGAGTGGATATACATATGTACATACATATATATTTACATATATGAATATGTATGTAGACGAATGCTTCTGCAATACAAAGATAAACTTGAGAGTACACATAGGTACATACATACATATATATATATATATATATATATATATAACAAGGAAGAGATGAACGGATAAAACCACGGACTTCATCCATCTGAGAGTGTAAACGAAGAGCATGAAGAGTCTATTCGCAGCAACTTGGACTGACGTATGAAACGACTTGGGACATTTTACGTCGAAATCTTAAATTGAAAGCGTAAAAGATACAGCTTGCGCCAGAACTGAAGCCGTTCAACGTATCCAAGCGACAACGTTTTGTTTTGTTTGGGCTTTTGAAAAGTTCCAAGAAGATCCGACGTTTTCGAGGTAAACTCCTTTGAGGGGTGAGGTCTTATTTTGGCTCAATGAGTATGTAAACCACCAAAAGAGCAACGTAAAGAAACTCAAGAGCTCGCCTTTCATCCAGAAAATTGAAGTCAACGGATGGGACATCTAAGACGTAGTCGCGGCCAGCGTTTAAAAGAGATGAATTTAATGTGTTTTTCCCCTTTAAAAAGTAGGTCCAATGGTGACCTTTATACCTGTAAAAGCTAGCTGTGATTCAGATATCAAACAAATCGAACCTTCGAAGTACGTAAAGTTCCAACTACATATGTTTTACATATTACGTAAGTAAAACCTCTTCATCAAATCGATCCCAGACGCACTTCGCAGAAGTTAAGTTGGTTCCCTTACTAATTTAGGCTACACCTCTACACCAAATTTTATGTAAATCA